TGTGTTGAGCGTCTGCCCCCTGGTGGTCAGTGTGCATCATAGCGATCAGTTGTTCTGGTCACTTAGGCTTTTATATATATAGATGAGGGAGATGAGAGAAAGAGAGAGAGAGAGAGAGAGAGAGAGAGAGAGAGGGAGGAAGGAAGGAAGGAAGGAAGGAAGGAAGGAAGGAAGGAAGGAAGGATCCCCCACAATGGAGTCATTTGCTCCCAGTCACTTGCAAACCCAGCGTGTTGCAGCATCCACCTCTCTCTTCAGACCACCTGGAAGCACTAGTTAGCACTAGTGAGGCCGTCCGTCCCCCAAAATACACTGAGCGAGGCTGAAACAACCTTCCCTGCCTTTTGCTGAGTCCTCCCTGCCCACCCGTTAGCGGCCTGGGAAGCCCTCCCGTGTGGTACAGCCCCGTGAGCAGCCCTCGAGTTGTGGTGGGTGCCGTCCAGTTCATGGGCTGACGAATCGGGTCAATTGTATCTTCACATTTACTCCATTCGGATTTACTTCCTAACACTTTTTCAAGGTAAAAATAATTGTCAGGGGAACATTTCAGTGCTACAGTAACGGGAGGCCCTGCTTCTGGTTTTTTGTTTTCATTTTTAAATCAAAACACAGGACTGTAAAAATAAATATATAACAAAAGTCTGGCCCGGCTGGCGTGGCTCAGTGGTTGAGCGTCAACCTATGAACCAGGAGGTCACGGTTCTATTCCTGGTCAGAATACATGCCCAGGTTGTGGGCTCGATCCCCGGTAAGGGGCGTGCAGGAGGCAGCCGATCCATGGTTCTCTCTCATCACTGATGTTTCTATCTCCCTCTCCCTTCCTCTCTGAAATCAATAAAAATACATTTAAAAAAAAAAAAGAACTTTGTAATTTAAAAAAAGCAAGCCTGGCTGTTTTCCGAGGAAAAGCATCTGCCAAGTCGTCGGCGGTGAGTTTTCCACCCTTTGGGGGAACTGGGATTCCAGGACAACCCCTCCCCCAGGAATTCGGAAGGAGGGGAGCCCAGAGGCGGTGCCGGGAGAGAGCGGGCGGCTGCGCTCTCACCCCGAGCAGAACAAAGGGGCCCGGGCTGGCGCTGGCGCTCCGGCCGGGCTGCAGCGACCACACCTCCGGAAAGAGCCAGTGAGTTTTCCTCCCTGGAAGCTGAGGGAAGGGCGGAGGCTGGGCTCCCCTGCACCCGCCCCCCCTGCAGAGGAACTCCGGGCAGCTGCGGGCGGACCCCCCACCTCCTGCTGGGTCTCTGGTTGCCTCTGCCCACTGCTCACAGCCAGCCTGGGAGGCAGCCACAGGGGCGGGGCGTGCCCGTGAGTGGGCGGGGCGTAAACGGGGGTGGGCGGGGCATCGGGGCGGGGCGGGGCGGAGGATGGAGACAGAAGGGGGGAAGCAGCCAGGTTCAGACCAAGCCTCAGAGAGCCTGTTATTAAGGAGGTTTGTCCGAGCTTAGTTTTTTGGGGTTTTTTAAATATATTTTATTGATTTTTTACAGAGAGGAAGGGAGAGGGATAGAGAGTTAGAAACATCGATCAGCTGCCTCCTGCACACCCCCTACTGGGGATGGAGCCCGCAACCAAGGTACATGCCCTTGACCAGAATAGAACCTGGGACCCTTCAGTCCGCAGGCTGACGCTCTATCCACTGAGCCAAACCGGTTAGGGCTTGTTTTGTTTTTTAATATATTTGTATTGATTTCAGAGAGGAAGGGAGAGAGAGAGAGAGAGAGAGAGAAACATCAATGATGAGAGGGATGCATGGATGGGCTGCCTCCTGCACGCCCCCCACTGGGGATGGAGCCCACCACCCGGGCATGTGCCCTGACCGGGAATGGAACCTCGGCCTCCGGGTTCATAGGTCGACGCTCAACCCCTGAGTCATGCCCGCCGGGCCCAAAGGAGTTTTCTAACAGGGGAAGGCAGACCTTCACTGTCTGTGCCCCGCCACCCTGGGACGTGGGGGGCCGTTTGCGCCCCCTCGTCCTACAGATCTTCAGGTCCAGAGGAGCCAGTGGCTGGGTCCCCGGGAGCCGCTGTTACCGGAAGCCCGAGGCCTTTTCCTGCGCCTGCCCGCACTCACTGGCCCAAAGAAGCGTGCGGCAGGGTTTGCAGACCGGACATTTTAAAACCAGTTGAATGTGCAATGGGCCCACGTGGAGGTGGAGGGCGTATGCTCTGAGAAACCCGACTCCCTGAGGGCACCTGGTTACCGATCATAGAGGGGCAGCCACAATGTTATGGGTTCACTCAGCGAGATAGACCACCAACTCAGAATTTAAATTTAAGAGCCTTTATTAAGCTGGCCAGCTGACTACAGTGCATCCCTTCAGTAAGGGGCTTCGCAGCCTGCAGTGCCGAACGAGGGTACAGCAAAATCTTTTATTGCAAAGACTACACAGTGTTTTTAAAAAAAAAAACTACAAAGCATTTCATTAGCTGTTCCTTAGAAGTTTACAAAAAAAAAGTTCACAAGAACAAAGGGGAGGTAAAAGGAGTCACACCTGGCTGGGTTGAATCATAATACATTGTTTTCTGAGACAATCTAGCAATTTTTCTCTGTCACGATTCCGGACCCTAATACAATTGGTAACCTTTCCATGCCTCGGTCCCTCCCCCTAGCACAACAGGGCACCGGGTTCGGGGTGGGGAGGTGCTGGGAGCTCACTGCTTGGAGGGGAGAGGAGGGTAAGGAACCGTTTCTTTAGGTCTGAGGTCTGTTCCGGCATCTGTCTGTCCTCTCTCTCAGGAGAGTAGCCAGAGGGTGTCATTCCAGCTTAGGGCTCAGGAGCTGGAACATAATTTACATCAAAATGTTCTCTTTAGCCCCGGCCGGTGTGGCTCAGTGGTTGAGCATTGACCTATGAATCAGGAGGTCACAGTTGGATTCCCCGTCAGGGCACATGCCCAGGTTGCAGGATGGATCCCCAGTAGGGGATCTGCAGGAGGCAGCTGATCCATGATTCTCTCTCATTGTTGATGTTTCTATCTCTCCCTCTCTCCCTCTCTCCCTCTCCCTTCCTCTCGTATATTTTTTAATGTTCTCTTAGGCCTGCAGAGGTCGGACCATGTGACCATTAGTCAGGCCCGGGCTACTGTCTTCTGCTGCCTCAGGGGTTGCTGATTAGGGGGGGGCGGGGAGGGGGAGGCCGGGTCTCTGAGGGGTGTGTATATATAGAGATTTCTGGAGTAGGATTTAAAACTAAGTTCAATCAAAGGCACAGAGACCTTCAGTTTCATGCTGGACTAGCCTGGTACGCGTTTGGCTATGGGAGAGTTCGAGTTCACCCTCTGGTCTTCAGCCTGCAGTGCAAGCCCTGGCTCCATCCTTCCTCGTGGAGGGGACTTCAGACAAGTTACTTAACCTCCCTAGGTCTCAGTTTCCTCACCTGTAAAGTGGGTGTGGTGCCTAGTTCCTGTGGTTGTTTGTGGGGCTAAGTGAGCGTTTGCAGAGAGTCAGCGAATCAGTACCTTCAGAGCACCCCCTGCTGTGTTTAGGGCTTGTTGTTTAGGGCTAAGTGGGCAGGGGTGTTTGGGGGAGCAATACACAGAATAGATAGGCGTGTTTATACGGTGCACTCCAATGCCACCGCCATGCCATCCGATCCCCGTCCTGGCCATGGTCTCTGCATCTTCTAACCGCCCCTCGGAGCGTGACTGCTGTCCCCTGTGCTGGTGACAGCCTTCCACCTTCATCACGGAGACTTTATCTCCCTTCCCTTCCTCTTCCAGAAAGATAATCGGCGCCCACCTTCGTCGCCATGCCCTCCCTCACACCCTGGCCAGGGCCCGTAGAACCCCCTGCCTACCCCAGGCCACAGACTGAAGCCTGTTGACTGCAAGTCCGCTGGCTCAGACTCGAGATCCCACCGGCGGCCGGCTTCTGTGGGTTTAGCATCTTGTGGTGACAGCGTCTAGCCAGCCAGGTGCTAGACGGGTTGCAGCACACACAGCTGAGCTCAGGGATCTCACACCAGTTCCGCGCCTCACCCACGCGCACGGGCCCTCCAGCCCCTCCCCCAGCTCCAGCGCGCTCACCACAGACAGGAAACCTGACCACAAGGGCGCTGAAGCCCTGGCAGCCCTGTGGCTCGGAGAGTCTGCTTGCCAAGGCCAGTGACAACCTCCTCATGACGTCCCACCACATGTAAAACCAAGGCCCACGTCCTCCCAGGCCCAGGAGGCCCCCAGGCTCGGGCCACTGCCCTCCTCCGACCGCGACTCCTCGCCTGGCTCACCCAGCTCTGAGCACGCACATCCTTGCTTTTCTGCAAACACATGCACACGCGCTCTGCCCAAAAGGTCTTCCCCAGATGTCTCCACGCTCCGGCTCCACTCCCATCCCTGCTCAGGTGTCAGCTCCTCAGCCACCTTCCCTGCCCAGCCTGTCTAACAGCACAAACAGCCCCGCCGGTGCGGCTCAGTGGTTGAGCGTCGACCTATGACCCAGGAGGTCACGGTTCGATTCCCGGTCAGGGCACAGGCCCGGGTTGCAGGCTCCATCCCCAGTGTGGGGGGTGCAGGAGGTGGCAGATCCATGATTCTCTCTCATCATTGATGTTTCTATCTCTCTCTCCCTCTCCCTTCCTCTCTGAAATCAATGAAAATATATTTTTTAAAAAATAAAAATAAGTAGCACAAACACACCTCCACTCCCGAGTCCTTGTCACTGTGGGGACACTCTTTCTCTTCGTTCTCCACATTTCCACGTGGAGGGACACCCGCCCACCCATCTCTCCTGGTCTAGCTCCCTCTTTCCGACAGGAGGACTGAGTGTCTGGTTGGTGAGGTTGGGAGCAGACACTCAGCTCGGCCCCCTTCCTCTGGGGAGCCGACACACCTGCAGAGAGCGTGGTCTGTCTGCTCTGCCTCCCAGGAAGGGGTGGGGGGGGGGGAGAAGGCCTGAGGGCGCAGAGCTGTTGGCACTGTCTCCTTCGAGAGCAGAGCATTAACGAGCCAATATTGTCCTCCGAGCAATATTATCGGTTTTAAATACCTGCCTGGCTCCTGTGTGGGTCTGTCCGTTGGTTATGAATTTTTATCTACTGCTGCCTAACAACTCACCCGAAACTCAGGAGCTTGAATGAACAATGAACTGTTGACTATTTTCTCGTCGGGCCTGTGGGTCGACCAGATGGTTCTTGTGCTCTACATGTTGTCAGCCAGAACGCCGGGCCGGCTGCAGAGCCCCGCGGCTTCCTTCCGCGGCTGGTGGTTGGTGCCGGCCACCAGCTGGGAGCTTCGGGGGGGGGGGGGGGGGGCTGTCCGCTCGGGGTGTGGGGGCCTTGGCTCCCCTCCACGTGTCTGTTTGGGCTTCCTCTCGGCATGGTCACTGGGTTCCAAACAGGACTGCTCCATGAGCAGGTATCCTAAGAGGAAGGAAGCGGAAGCTAAGAGTCACCCTAACAATGAACCTGGGAAGCCCGCGATCTCAGAGCACAAATGGAACGGTGCACTTGCTGCTTAAAACAACCCGGGAAGGCTTCCCACTGCACTTAAGATAAAACCCAGTGCCCGAAGGGGCTCCTCCTCCCTGTGGGCACCCCCACCCCCGCCAGCCCCCAATAGTTCAGGCTCCATCCAGACTCAGGTCCCTGCCCTCAGGGGCTGACGGTTTGATGATAACTGGATGGACACAATCCATCATGTCACACAAGCAGCATATGTAAAGCTGGCCCTAGTGCTGTGAGCGAGAGGCCCCCCCCCCCACACACACGCACCCGAGCCTGTGACGAGGGGATTGACTCATCAGAGAGCTCAGGGAAGGACTCCTGGGAACAGTCCCTCTTGAACTGGGATCCGATGGATGAGCAGGAGTGAAGGGAGTGAAAGGAAAGCAGGAGGGAGGACCAGCGTGTGCAAACACCCGAGGCAGCCGTGTAAGCTGGCCGGGTGGAGAGGTGGAGGAGCGTAGGCCAGGAGACAGACCTAGCAAGGCCCACAACCCAAAGGGGGTTCGGACTCTGTTCTGGGCCTAAAGGAGACGCTCCCGGAGGGCCTCGGGCCAGCGCTGGCCTGGCGAGATCGGCCGAGAGGCGCTGACTCTGGCTCGGTCCTGACGTGGTAATAACTGCTCGGACCTCAGAGCAGCTGCAGCTCCTGCAAGGGAGAGAGAGGCCGGAGAGAGTGTGGGGAGACCCCACTGCCTCCGAGGGAGAGAGGACGGCGGCGTGGACTGGGGACCGGGGAGAGGAGAGACCGAGCAGTTGGCAAACGTACTAAACCTTATGTGCGGCCGGAGCACAGCTGCATTCCTGTTTCTTACTCTAAAGCCCTCGATGTCATTGACGAGGAAGCCCGGGAGACACACCATCCTACGGACTGCCGGCCGCGACACGTCGGGTCTGTCTATCAGATTGGCCGGTGTATTAAGCAACATTACGTGTGCAAGTCCGTCTACTTTTTGTTTGTTTGTTTAATATATTTTTTATTGAGTTCAGAGAGTAAGGGAGAGGGAGAGAGAGAGAGAGAGAAACATCAATGATGAGAGAGAAACATTGATCGGCTGCCTCCTGCACGCTCCTACCTGGGGATGGAGCCCGCCACCCAGGCCTGTGCCCTGACCGGGAATCGAACCCTGACCTCCTGGTTCATAGGTCGATGCTCAACCACTGAGCCACGCCGGCCGGGCAGGTCCATGCACTGTGACAGCATGGGCAGGCCAGCAGGCCCCAAGCGCTAGGGGGCTGGTCACGGGGACATATTGCCTCCTCTCGCTCACTTTTGCGAAAGGGCAGAAAAGCGGGCTGGTTGCATATAAAGGGCTGTCGTCATGGCATCGCACGTGCCTGGATTCACATGCCTGTTCCTACTGCCGCCCTTACCAGCTCTGTGGAATGTTCCAGAGCCTCTCTGTGCTCCTGTTGCCTCATCGTTGACATGGGGGTGATAGTAGCAGCCACCGCTGCTGGAGTTTTCGGAGGCCAGAGAACGCCCTCCTGCCCTCTGGCTTTCAGGACTGAGAAGCAAAAGCAGGTGCCAGACAGGTGGAGACCGAAATGCCACCTCGGAGGCGACCAGGCTGGACCAGAGGATGTGGTTGAGGTGAAAAGGCTTCATGCAGCCGCGGACACAGAGAGCGACCGACCGCAGACAGCGGGGAGGAACACGCCCTCGCCGGGGACAGGGGGTCCGGCCCAGCGCCGAGGGAAGTCACCTGTCGTCCTGGGGAAGTGAGTGGGAGGCGATGGGACCAGGCAGTGCGGGAACCAGGCCTCAGAAACCCCTCTCCCCCATGGAAATAGGAGGAGGAGGAAGTGCCTCCCTCTGAAACCTGACAGCCAGGGCGTCCGGGCTGCCTGTCACTACTGGAGCCAACAGGGTTGAATCACCTGAGCGTTTATTCTAATCCTGCCGGCGTTGGCAGCGTGAGAGCGCAGCAGGTCAGCCACAGACATCTGCTCTGCCCCCCACCGTCAGCTGCTGCTTCTATTGGGTATATGGACTGAAGGGGCCACATGCTGACCTGACAAGCTCAGGGGAGGCATGCATGGCGGTCTTGCAAACTCAGAGACCTAAAGTCACCACCAAGGATGGTCTGAAATTAAACTTTAACTGAAAGCAGTGATGGTGGGCAGTTACGTCCTAGGCCGGTATCTTCACTGACAAGGTCAACCTTTACCTTAACTGGGCCTGTCTGTCTTTTTGCATCTGTGATAACATACCCTTGAAATGTCTGGGTAACTTCTGACTTCCCTTTATCTGGAGCCCCTGGAGCACAACCAAATGTGCTGGGCCCCAGAACAGATGCCACAAATTCCTTCATCATCATGTTAATTGTTCCTGCACCCACCTAAGTGTGTGTCCATCATGTTACTTTTTATCCAATCCCAGGGGTTTCCCTGCTTTGCTTTATCCCTCCTCCTTAGTGTGTCACCAATGAATTTCATGTAACCCACCTATGTTCCTCCTTTGATTGCAAATGTATAAATACAAATGTAACCCCGCCATTCTCCGGAGCATTATCTCAATTCGTTGAGCTTCTGCTTCCCAGCATATGTAACCCCGCCATTCTCCGGAGCATTATCTCAATTCGTTGAGCTTCTGCTTCCCGGCATATGTCGACAGTTTGGCTCAAATAAATTTTATTTTATTTTTTTTTTTTCAATGGTTTTTTTATGTTAACAGGTAGAAGCACAAAGATTCCATGGGGGAGGAATGCCAAGTGGGCAGCTTACAGGTATTTGCAGAGGCCTGCGGGTATGCAAAGGGCTGGGGGTCTTCAAAGGGCTGGCGATTCTGGCTTCTGCAACAAGGCTGTTCATCTTCCCATGAAAACCTGCATCTCCAGGTGAGCTTCCAGGCCCCAGGTGCGACTCCCTCCCGGCAGGTGAGAATGTGCCTTCTTTCATCGGAATAAAGACAGAGCTGGTTAGTAGTTCTTACCATTATAGCTGGTCCCCCACATTCTCTTCCTGCCCCTGTTGCCTCCACACCGGCTCACGGGGTTGCTATGGAGATCAGACTCTGCAGGGCGGACATCCCTGGCAGCAGCCAGCCGTCCTGGGCTAGGGAGCCTGGCCCCTGAGGGAAGTTGTGGTTGAGCAATGGCATGAAGCAAGGGAGTTTCTTAAAAGGGGATTTCTCTATTTCCCCTTCTCCCCTGGTTCCCTTTACGCAGGAAACCTTGAGAGTTTCCTAAAGGGAAATGCTGACCAGATGTGAACTGGCAAGTCTTCGCAGCAGAGGAAAAACCCCTGAGTGTGTCTCGATGCGGGTGAATACAGTATCGAGGTCCCGAGTCCTTTCGGGGTGTATGCAGGCACTACCTGGTTGCTGGAGGGCGGGGTTCTGTTTGCGGTGGGGTGGTGGCTGTTGTGTGCTTTTCAAGGCAGCCTCCCCTCACCCCTGACAGTGAAGCAATTAGGAATCGCGGGCAGGGAAGCAAGCAGGTACCGCCCTGGGGAGAGCCCCGGCCAATCACATGGCAACCGCAGCTCCATTGAATGCCAGGGCAAGGGGGAGGCGGGAAAGAGCCTGTCCACTCCGGGGGCACCCTGTCAGCGAGGCCGGGCTCCCCACCTGCACCGAACCGCCTGAAGGGGCAGGCTGCCGGCTGTGTGGACGCCCTGGGAATGCCCCCAGGAGCAGGAAAGGGTTGGTCCTGAAGGCCAGCGGCTCTCTTCCCGCTGAGTCATCCCCGGGAGGGGCACCAGGACCACACCTGCCCGGGTTTCTGAGGCTGACGGAAACCCCCAGCGCCAGCATCCCTGAGCGGTCTGACCTCGGGTAATCCCTCTACCATTCCCCGCTGGCATTTCCAGCGGCAACACCTTTAGATCCCCTCCTGTCCCTCCAGGGGAATCGGCACAGAGGGAGGGGGCTCCCTGGCCCCCACGTTCGGTGCGGTTGCATAAGCCACACCAAGCTTTTCCGTGATAATGGAGCCTTAAGCAGACGGCTAATGGAGCAACAATCATAGCGAACATTTATGTAGTCATCGCTGACTGTGCCCAGGTGTTGCTGACTGGGCGTCAATGAATCAGGGGCTTCGGCTAGAAATAAGGGGGAAAGATTTGTTCGAGGGTCTGAGGGTTTGCAAACCGGAAACACAACCAGGCCAGGCCCGGAGCGTTCCGGAGCAGAGAGAGAAGCTGAGGGTTCCTACAATAAAAGAGCACATTCCTGAGCAGGCTCGGTGCTGCGTGTTAGCCTCTGGGTTGGTCTGAGATGCTCACCCTCTCACCAGCTGGCGGCCTAAATACACGAGCCTGTCATGAGAGGGCTCTCCGGGGGCTGGGTGTGTATTCAGGCATTGACGCGGGACTGGAAAGTTCCGACGTTTGCGTTCCGGAGCTAGTTAGAACAGGAATCCAACTGTTTCCTCAACCTACCAGAACCCTTGCTCTGAATTCTGTCTGGGCCAGTGGCCAGCAAACTCATTAGTCAACAGAGCCAAATATCAACAGTACAACGATTGAAATTTCTTTTGAGAGCCAAATTTTTTAAACTTAAACTATATAGGTAGGTACATTGTTATTAACTTAATTAGGGTCCTCCTAAGGCTTAGGAAGAGCCACACTCAAGGGGCCAAAGGGCCGCATGTGGCTCGCGAGCCGCAGTTTGCTGACCACGGGTCTGGGCTGAACTAAAACACCGATTTCAGTCATGTAACTGCTTGATGGCAGTGACTCTGTTTGATTTCTTCACTCGACTCCTCGGGACTATACTAACTTTCACAACAATAGGAAGTCCTATTGTTAACCACATTTCACAGATGAGGAATTAAGACGTGTCTGCTCTGTCTGCTACAGTCAGCCCAGAGGGAGGAAACCAGCCCTCTATCTTCCACCATCTGTTTCCCTGGACTCAGAGAATGCCAAGGTGTGAGAAGGACTTCAGAGATCGCCGAGTACAACCCTGGATTTCACGGACGGGAACACGGAACTGGACAGGGCTCACGGTGTGTTTGCCCAAGTCCCACAGTCCAACCATGGCTGAGCCCCTGACCCCCGAGTTCTGTACGTCTCTTCTAACACATCCTCCCCCTTCCCTCCCAAAAGAAAGCGTGTTCCCGGATTTTTCTCAACCACTTGTTTGCCTGTCAATTCTCCATACTTATTATTTCCAGTTTTTTCTTCTGTTACCATTTTTTTAATACATATTTTTTATTGATGGCAGAGTGGAAGGGAGAGGGAGAGGGAGAGGGAGAGGGAGAGAGAGAGAGAGAGAGAGAGAGAGAGAGAGAGAGAGAAACATCAATGATGAGAGAGAATCATGGATCAGCTGCCTCCTGCACGCCCCACACTGGGGATGGAGCCCACAACCTGGGCCTGGGCCCTGACCTGGAATCTAACCGAGACCTCCTGGTTCATAGGTCGACACTCAAACATTGAGCCACACCATCGGGGCTTCTGTTATCATTTTTAGTGAAGGAAAAAAAAAGGGGGGGGGGGAGATAAGAAAAGAGGAAAGAGAAAGGAAAGAAAAGAAGAAAGAGAGAAAGAGGGAGATGGGTAGGGGGAGAGAGAGAAAGGAGAGAGAGACAGAGGGACGGGGGAATGTTAACAATGATGTATTAGACCTTTGTTTTTGAGTTCGCCTAAGAAAATTCAGAGCAAGAACTCTGACGCAAGAAGTTTATTTAGAAAGTCAGAGGTGGAAGGAGTGAGCCAGCTGGGCCTCGTGGACTCGGAAAACAAGTTACAGAGGAGAGAAGGGCCCTGGGAGCTTAGGAGAAGGAAAATCAAAGAGTTGGCAGCTGAGGAAAGAAGGGGGAACAGGGGAGGGAGCGAGTACATGGGGCTCTGGTCTTAAGGGTTTTTATCGATTTTCTGAAGGTGGGAATTTTAGGGGAGGTCTCGGGGGGAGAGTCTCAATAGAATATTCATCAGCTTCCCAGGTGTGTCTTTCAGGGTCCTGGTCTCCACAGATGGACGGAGGGGTCGGCACTAGGGCAGGAGGCCATCAGTCAGTGCAGCTGAGCCTGATGTGGGCCACGGCCTCGCCTTGTCTGGTTTCGATGCTTTCCTGGGCCTGGAGCTGAGACACTGAGGCCTAGATGTTACCTCTCGTCTGACCAAAACCCTGTCTCTGTGGTCAGCAGACCCACAGCCCTGTTCCTCCGATGATGTGATGTGGGTCAGAGCCTCACTGTCCCGAGGGCTCAGTGCTCAGGGGAGGGTCCTGCAGGGGCTTGTGTGGGAGTCTGTGAGGCTGTTCCCCGGCCCCCTTGTCCTCCTCGAAGGGTCCACCACATGGCCAGCGACATGCCAGGGGAGGGGAGGCCACCTGGGGTAAGGTCCTAGCCCAGTGATGGCGAACCTTCTGAGCTCGGCGTGTCAGCATTTTGACAAGCCCTAACTTAACTCTGGTGCCGTGTCACATATAGAAATTTTTTGATATTTGCAACCATAGCTGAAACCGGTTTGGCTCAGTGGATAGAGCGTCGGCCTGCGGACTGAGAGGTCCCAGGTTCGATTCCGGTCAGGGGCATGTACCTGGGTTGCGGGCACATCCCCAGTAGGAGATGTGCAGGAGGCAGCTGATCGATGTTTCTCTCTCATCGATGTTTCTAACTCTCTGTCTCTCTCCCTTCCTCTCTGTAAAAAATCAATAAAATATATTTTTAAAAAAGTATATATTTGCAACCATAGTAAAACAAAGACTTATATTTTCGATGTTTATTTTATATATTTAAATGCCATTTAACAAAGAGAAATCAACCAAAAAATGAGTTCGCGTGTCATAGGTTCGCCATCACTGGCCTAGCCTGTGATTCATGTTTTCCCAGTTTTGCCTGTTGCTAGGCACCCAGGACTTCCTGCCCTGCGGACACTCCTCCCTGGCCCATTGTGCCTGTGCCCGTCCAACTGCCCCCTCTGCCAGAACTCTGTGCCCATCCATTGATGAGAAGTTGGACAGCCCAACCCAATCTCCAGCGCCCTGGCGCCGGGGTCAGGATGTCTGAAGGCCAGCAGATCCCTGGCCTGCCCCTGGGTCAGTCCCGCCTCCTCGATCCGAGCCTCAGTTTCCCCACCTGCAAAACCAGAAGTTCACCCTCCAACAGGTCATCCGGAAGCATATTTTTGGTTTGTTGTTTGTTTGTTTTAAAGAGTAAATTCTCCTTTATTGTTTTATAAGTGTTTTTATTGATTTTCAGATAGAGAGGGAGGGAGAGGGAGAGAGAGAGAGAGAAACATCAACAGACACACCCACTGGCTGCCTCCTGCACCCCCTACTGGGCGTGGAGCCCACAACCCGGGCATGTGCTCTACCGGGAATCGAACCAGGACCCCCTGGTCCCTGGGAGGACGCTCCGTCCACCTGAGCGCGAAATGCTCCCCAAAGAACGAGCCCGGGCCTTGCCCTCAACAAACATGGCATCGGCGGTGACGTCGCCTTCCGTCGCCTCGCGGGTCCCAGCCCCCCGCCCCCCGCGGGCGGCGAGCCCCAGTGACGGCAGCGCGCGGGGCGCATGCGCGGCGCGGGCCGCTTCACTGCGTAGATGGGGGGAAGTTTTCCTGCCCCTAATGACACGTCCCGGGACCCGTTTCCTTTGTTATAGCCAGACCCTTCGTACACCCGATTCAGGTAGGCAATCTCCAGAAGTCTCCCTATACTTTACAACTCGCGTT